TTTGCACGCAGACACGAGCAGGCACAAGCACACTGCATAGTATTGAGATGGTTGTTGAACATGCATTTGCAATGTAGCTAGCGCATGGCGGTGTGGCCAGCTGAGCTTTCCTGAACTAAGATGCAATTACTGAATTGCCTATACTCATCCACTGTCAAACAAATGAGGCTCGCTCTTGAGCACTATGAATCTAGAGCAAGAAACGCACGCCCAAGGATTAAATCAACTCCTCCGATGTTGGAAGCACAATTGCACATGGTTCAGTCGCACTCACAAACAGGACGTCAGCAGGATTTGAAATGCAGAAGAAGTGACTCCTGCATTTTACAAGGCTTTCTGCTTTCCGATTCACTGAGAAAGGGGAGTCAGTGTTCACGTGAGGATGTTGTAGAGCAGGCGTCAAAGGAGAAGTTTAACAATCCATTGGGACTAGCTTTGAATGAGGCTTTCAGCACTGATGAGCGCAAGCAGCTCAGGCAGCCCGGCTCATGACTCATACGCTTTGTTGTTGCCCAGTTTGGCCTCTCCAAGATTGCCGTTTGATTCCTAGGGTGGCCACAGAAGTGTAGGAAGCTTGAACTTGCAAGAGCTGTGCTGACCGAGGGCAACGAGCATCGGGTTGGGGCTTGGCATGTCCGAGCAGCCGTTTGTTGGTTCACCCGAGGATCTTCCCACTTCTCAGACGATGGGAGTGAGACAGACAGCCTGGGCAGCCTGCGTACTGAAGACTGAGACTTTGTGAAAATGACTACTGGCTATTATTTGAAGGGTCGTGGCTTGAATACGTTCCAGTCAACTGTCACTGGTCTAGACGTGCAACCGACAGATGAAAGTTAGCACATCAGGAACTATGTTTGCAGGATGTCCGAGGTGCTCAATCGATCTCAATCGTCCTTCTTTGCTTGAATGCATGTATGGAGGCGAGGGGGGATTCCCTGGGTTTGAGCTTGTTTGCAGGCGAGAAAATGGATTGCAGATTCCAAAGGCCTGGAATATCTGAACTGTTCTATAGGATTCCTACCCCGCAAGAGAAGTTGTAACCAACAATGGAACATGTTATTAAATGTTGTTAGGGTCAATCATAAATTATATATTCGTGAGTTTCACGCCTAAACCAATTTTACTGAGGAATGCAATTCCGTAAAGATATCAGAACCGCGTCCAAAAACCACCTTTGAAAGCGGCTCCTGTATGTCAGCTGGCAGAAGTGAGTTTTCGACTGGCCCGAAGAGAGCTTGGATGGGTGCGATTGGGTTGATACGTGCCGCAGCAAGTTTCGCACACTAGAGCCCATTGGCCAGGTTGAGGCCAAACAATTATTTCTTCGCATCGCGCTTTGCAACCATGGCGGCAAGCCAATTGGCGCGACAGCTGGCAGCCAAAGCTGATCTCAAGGATGGGCATTCTCCCGAACGCGCGGATTGGCAAGGAGAGTTTGGATTGGCCCAAATCATCTCAGGAATGTAAGGCAGGGTGAGAAAAGCGACCTGGAGAACTTGAGAAGCCACCCCCTCCCCGGCCCGCATTCTTTTCACGTTTGAGCAGATGCAGCCACAGCTTGATCGCCTACAAGCAACTGAAGGGTTCCCAGAGTTAGTGGACAGCGGCGCGCGTTTGGCTTGGGAGTACTTGTTCTTTTTCTTTTTTTTCTCGGAGTGCTCTATCAGACTTTAGCATCCAGCATTCCAGGTACCATCGTGTTGCATGTGTGGCAGACGCAGGACGAAGAAATGCTAAACCTCAACAAGGCACTTTTGGACCTGATCATGGCAGGATTGCACGGGAAGTCGATCCGTGCTGGTGGTTGGCTTTGGCCTTTGGAGTGCGGATGGTTGCTGTTGGCTGGCCAGCCCCGAAAAACAAGCCTGGGGTTTGCCTTTTGCTTGTTATGTGAGTCAGGCAACCCCAAATGGTGCAGAACCAGGCATTTCTTGCTTACAGGGAGCAAAAGGCAAGCTCTTGTGATTAGCCCATCGGAGGCCGCACGACATGGCCAGGAGATTTTGATACGTACAAGTTCATTTGTGACGACAAGATGTCTTGCTTTGAGCCCGAGGCCAAAGGTCACATGGTGCTCCTTGGCGCAACGGGGTCCGAGAACTCGACTCACAGACTGGAACCGGGGATCTTGTTCCCTTGCGGTGTCAGTTTCACCCGTTACTGGGACGTTAAGGAAAGAGTCCAAGCTACCGGCACGGAGTTTGTGCACCCGGCCATCTGACATGTATCAAAAAAGATGGCAGTTTTTCTGGGGGTTTCATTTGAAAGCGAAGGGAAAAGGATACCCTATGACACCCTCAGCAATACACACCCATGCAATAAAAAAGAACATCTGAGGACAGGCCTGGATTTCCACAAGTATTACTTCGACCTTCAGCAGGCGCAGACGACCGTGGCCGCCGAAAGTGGAGAAACTGGGGGTTGCCAGTTGCACCAGGTCAAAAAAAGACCTTGGACAAGTCAGAAAAAAGGAAGAAGGAAAAAAACACGAGCCCATCTTTCTGGGGGGGGGAATCATGGGTCAATGGACCCTTTGGAGGATGTTTGCAAGGGCTCCCTCGGCTCCCTCTTTGAAGTAATTTCCTGCTATGCGATTCCAGGTGCACCCCCGTATGCTTCTCGGGCAGCATGCTTGGTTTTGCCGGAATCTAAGAATCTACGTTCCACTCGCGCGGATTGATGTGGGTTGATTGTGCCTCGTATTGTTGTTCCACTCAGTTGCGTGGAACTTGGCAGCATTTGGAAATGGCCTCCAGATGGGCTGACCTTATGATGGGTTCTATTTTTGTTGGTAGAAGGCAATGGGATGCTAGCATCCGCCGTCCCATGGCACATTGGTTTAAGCTTGCCTCCGCCAGGACAGCGGTTCGGGGAAGAAGGCCGGTGAGACTGGTGCCGGTCAACCAAGCCTGCATGGGTGCGTGGAAAAACCAACCATCTCGGGAGCTTGGATGGACTGCGCAAGGTATCAAACCGCCAGCGAGTATGTTGCGCATGTTACACTGGCTGCACGTCGTAGCAAGTAAATTGCAGCGAAATTGCTTCTCCCTGACTCCCTGCGTGTTTTGGGGCTTCGACAGCGCCTGTAGTAGAGTCAATGCAACAATGGCGGCAGCGGCTGACTAAGTCAGTTTTTGGGTCCTTGCTGGATTTGCAGTAATTTGCATGCGCAAGCAGTGCTCACTCAAGCAGCGCTCAGCTTTCGCAGCATGGCTTTGGACAGGTCCATTGCTTCCGCACGTCGGCATGGCTTCGGTGTTTCGTGTCGCGGCCCCTCGCGCGATGGCAGGAGGCACGTAACACCAGCTTGGTGGCACCCCATTTGCGCTGGCACTGCAATCGCAAGGCTGCCACAGCGCCTCGGTACAGTTGAGCATGCACCCCAAGAAAGGTAGCTCAAGAGACCTCATCTCCATAAATTTCCCCTTGGTGGGTGTAAGGCCTAAAGGAAGATGTGTGGACGAGGCCCACTTGTTTGCCAATTGTGGGTTGGATATCTCGTTTGAGCAGCACTCTTTGTTTTGCGGCTGCGTGGTTCTTACTCACTACTTGGTTGCCTACTCAACATGACTGGTTGAATAGTTTTTGCGGCCTTTTTTAATATTAGTGGCCACTGTCAAAATTGCACGGACGACGGAGGAATATGCCAAAGACACATCGCCTTGCGATCCAACCTCATGTTACATGTGATTTTGCCCCCCATATTAAAATGGTCAAGTTGGCCCCCTGGGGAAAAGCATTTTTATCATTAGGGGGTCCCCTTTGCGTTTTCGGACTCCCGGAGCTCCGGCCCGAAAGTCGCAACTTTGTAGACACGAAGTAAAGCAAACACACTCCCGGAGCTCCGACAATTGGTTCCTTTGCAGGATTGAAGGTGCACAGGGGTCCCCTAATGGTCCTCTAATAGGGCTGCATTTGAATACGGGCAGGAAAATACCTACTTCGAATTGGTTTAGTACTGGCCTATTCTAAAAGTAGTATTCTCGGATTTGGGATGCTCAAAGTAATATTATTATTTGGGGGACCTTCAATATTCGGAGGGAGTGATTTCTCTTGGCCATGAGGACAGGGCAGGCTGTTTGAGCAAGTGGCAACCGTTGTTCAGGTGTGCTTCAAGCGGTTGGTGCAGGCAGGCGTGAACACAATCGCCACGGAGGCGTGAAGCACGAGAGAAGGTGGCTTGCGTGCCATGCTGTGCTTGAATTGGTGGCTTTGGCTTGGAAACGTGGAGCCAGGAGACCAGGGTGTGGGAATTTATGACAGATGCGATGCAGTGGACTCTCGAGGCAAATATTGGCCTGGTCTTGCAGGGCGGGGAAGCTGCGTGGCAACCCCTCGCACCAACAAGGACCCCGAGGAACCTCCCAGAACATGGTTTTGCATGGTCTTACCGGAGAGGGCCCGGTTTTTCAGGTTCCACGCGGTTGGCAACTTTGGTCCTGGGGGATATTATCTTGCTTTCGTGTTTTGCAGCTTACACCGTCGGCCTAGGTGGAGCAAATTCGCCAAGAGCGTTTTTCAGGATGGCCCGCCGGTGGTTGCGAAGCCTGTTCCAAGTGTCTCAAACATATTCAGTCATGTTCCTCCCTTGCTCCTTGAAAGGAACAACCGCAGCTTCTGTTTCTCCCACGGGGTACGGGGTGGGGAGGAGGTGTGTCAGGGGTGGGTTGGTGACGCGCCCAGGAAGCTGCGGCATTTCCACCGCTCGCACGGTTAGATCTTTATCTCTAGACCCAGGCGGGTTTCAAGCGCCTGGCGGCAATTCTCACGGCGAGCCAAGGAGAAAAGGGCACGCACTCCGGGCGCGTCAGCCATTTGGCCCTAACCTCTCCCCCAAAAAATTGGTCCTGCGGTGCCCACCGCCGGCGAACATAGTCTTCACGAATGAGGGTGGAAGCTACAACCAAACCCCCTGGGCCATGAATCACGTGCTTCTCAACTGAAACTGGCGCCGACCCTCGACTGAAACCTGGCACCCGGGCGGTGGCCAGCACGCTTAGGCCGTGCCTTTGGGTGACGAAGTCCAGTGACCCGTGAGAGCCAAGCGAAATGCGCCGCTCCGAGTTGTCATTACTCACACTGGTCGCAGCGCATAGATGGAGTTTGCCATGGCAGAATATATGACATAAATTATGTTTTGCATTTGCGTATGGTTGCATGGTCCAACGTGCTGTGTGATGAGAGCAACGTGGGATTCGTGTTCTTGGAAGACACTTGCATGATAATTAGTCAGTTGCAGGCCCGGAGACACGAGGGACGAACTGATCGCAAGCTGATTGCACGCATTTGCGGAGTATAGCGGCTGCAAGCACAAGTTATCCTCATAAGCTCTCATTGGAAGTCGGAAACTCTTCCGAATCTCTCGATAGACAAGCGGGGAGGTAGCCCATGAAACAATCAGGCACACGCACCTTCATACATGTTTTCCTGTCAGTGCTGGTGATGCCAAGGAGGCCCGTTTCTGGCTGGACGGAAAAGTTCAGATGCCACAGGCTAGTACTCCAGGCCACTTAGGGCAAGCGCCCCTGAGCCATCCAATGGCAAGCGCGCGGCCTCTGAGATCCAAGCCACAGCTCGATGCAGGCCAGTGCTGAAGGGATGCTTTCCTTCCCACTCATCAACCAACACGGAAATGCAGACTTCTTTCCTTTGGACCGGGAGCCATGCTTGCAATTCCATGTTTGCAGGGACGGCACACTCGCGAAAACACGAAAGATGAAGGAGGAATCTCGCAGAACTGGTGGGCGCAAGTGCCAACCTTTGTGAAGTGGGTGTTGCCTTTTCAAAGTTTGCAGTAATGGAGCCAACAGATGTCTGGAAGTTTCTCGTATTTGTAAATTGATGTCAGGCTGTTGACCCCAGCCTTTTGTGGGCCTTCTCTTTTCAGAGAGCAGCCAGTGATTGAAGCTGGTCTCATTTGTCAGGGGCAAAAGCTGAGGCAGTCTTTGTTTTGGAGAGGGCCTGCGTGCGCACTTCCACAGTTTTGGCAAGCAAATCTGTGGCAGGCAGAGTCTGGCCGGCGGGCATTGGCATGTCACTCGGCTTCTCCGTGCTGGCTGCTGCTACTTGGCAGGTTTTCACAATTACCAGGTCGATTGCAGCCAAAGTTTCAAGGAGCACATATGCAGCATTTGCAGCCATGTCTGAGCAGTTTTGGTCTTGCTTCTTATGCGTTGGAAATCATAGATAAGCACGCATATCATAGGTTGCAAGGTACCCCTGGTGTTTTCTAGCGTTGCAGGCCGGCATTGTTCCTGAATCCGTTGAGGGTTTGCCGCCCAGGCCACCAAAGCAACGGGCACGAGACTGTCCTCCTATGAGCGCATTTTCCTCCGCAGCTGCTTTTGCGTTGTGCTCGCTCCGGTGGCAGGCACGTTGGAGTTGTTCAGATTGCGGGTTAAGAATTCCGCCAACAACCCAGTCCCCTAAATGGTTATAACACGTTGCAATCAGGGTTCCCAACCACTTACTAAGCGTCCTGCTCTCGAGGTGAAGTACAAAGCTGCAACTCACTTCATAGGACCCTCAACGGGTTGTAAAAAGGCAGATGCCAGCTGGCGCCAAAGGACCATCATGTGCACATCTGAAACGGAACCCATGTTTTTTGGAACCCGTTTAGCCTGGAATCCACTGGGGCCGCTTTGCTTTCAGGTGAGGCGCCCAGACCCCCGTGGCGCTCCCAGCACCGGGGGCTTCTGCTGCTAAGAGGGGGCCTCGGCTTCCTGGCGGCGCCTTGGAGCATGAGCGTGGGTGGTGGCTGTGTCTAGCAGCGTCTAGCGGCTGTAGCGGGACCACCTCCAAAAGCCTAATATCCCCAGCCCCGGGACCCGCGAACCCGCCGCAACGCTGCACCCTGAAAGCTGCCCCAAACCAGAGACTACCTGGGCGGAGATTTCATAGACTTCAGCTGTTTGGGAAAAAGGAGGTTTCCTTTTGGGGCAATGTATGCCCAGCTGAAAAAGAATACCCTCACAAACCTTCGAAGCCTTGTGTCCTTTTTGGGTGGGTTCAAGGTTGATTTGAAGGCAGCCAACGGATTCCTCTTTTCCATGGCCGGTGCTACTTTCTTGGTGGGTTCAAGGTTTGCTTCAGTTGCAATTGTGGCGGCAGCAGGTTGCTCTAAAGACAGCGAACCAAAAAGTGGACGTCCTCCCACTGGGCAAGTGCTTTGAATGTGAAGACTAGCGACTCGAAATGATGGCCTCTGTTCCAATGCTGGACAAGTATGAGCGCAACTTCTTAAAGGAACGCCCCATGCTTTTGTCACTACAGTTGTTGCTTCTTTGATTTTCAGCATGGAGTCGGTGCGCAGGTTCATTCGTACTACGAAGCCATTGCGCGAATTCCGCTGGCAACCTTGACGTTGATATCCAGGCAGGGTCACTCACTGGCTTGTCGCTCATCTTGCGGAAATGCAGGCATTTGCAAAATTTGAGTAAGATCTCAATGCATTGCAAGCCAGAGGTTTCCGGCCGCCCCGCTTTGAAGTCGCTTTGAGTCCACTTAGCAGGATGAACCCTTGGACTTGTTTTGGTGAACTTTCGTGTTGGTCTTCCTTTGGGTCGTGTCATGTGAATGTAACCCTTCCAGATCCTTGGCTTTCGTTTTTGAAACCGAAGTGAAATGAGCAGCGCCAGAAACCCTGACAATACAAAGTAGTAAAGGGGGGTGTCCTATAGAATCCCCGCGAAAGCCAAAACGCAGGCCGCGAAAGCTTGCGAAAGCTTATCGCGAAAGCAACCAAAGAAGGTCCCGCCGCGAAAGACCCGCGAAAGCCTGCATGCTGTGTGACGCTCCGCCGCGAAAGCGTCGCGGAAGCAATTCTAAAGAAACCAAAGCCCGCTAAAGCAAAACATGGGGTCGCGAAAGCATCGCGAAAGGGTCCGCGAAAGCAAGTTTATAGGACCGCTTTTTACACAAGAGTCTTTGGCACGGCTCAAATGGCATTTTGGCTTACACCTTGCACATCCTGGCTAAGCAATTGGCAAGTGGCGATGAGTTCCCTGTTGACACCATTTTCCACCCAGGGTGTGTCTTTGGGCCTTTAGGATGTACCCTTCCGGTACCTGACAGAGAGTCCTTTACAGAAGGTCAAATCAAAATGCCCTTGCGGGAGGAAGAGTGTATCCCTTTTGTTTATTTAAACTCCATGCGGTAAAACCGACTCACTCGGATCAAAGTACCTGGAAAGCCATTCTCTTTATATTTCTCCTGGAGCTTCGGGTTTGGGCGTAGGCTGCACCCGCTGCTGTCCACGGCTTTGGCTGGGCTGGTGCTGGGTGAGCCGCTGCAGCGCCAGCAGATCCTCGTGCTGCTCTTCGCGGCCGTGGGCACCGCGCTGCTGGCGCCGGCCCAGGCGCGGCTCGCGCGGCTCGCAGGGAGTCGGAGAGTCGGAGTGGTGGCGCTGCCTGCGATCCGGGGGCCCAAAGGGGGACATTAGGTGCACCACCCATTTTAGTTTGTTTTAGTGGGGATTGGGATGTTAACTGGGGGTACGGGATTTTGACCCATGGCCGTGTGGGCCAGTTGGACAATGAATGAACATGACCTTAGAGAGAGTTTTTGGAAACTCCGAGGATTCCCCCCAAATGAAGAAAAACCAGCTGGATAGATCTGATGAAGTAGACAAACATGCCCTTGTTAACAGGTCGCATTGCAGTGACCTGTTCAAGGTCATTCACGAAGCTTTCGAGGAGACATGTAGCCTTTTGTAGCTCGATACCGTTCATCGCCACACCTTGCAAATTGGCACGTGGTTTCTGGGTGTATCCTTTCGGCCTTTCCCACCAGGTTAAAGAAAAATGCACGGTAAGTTGGCTTAAGGTATCCTTTTTCATTCGCTGGCCTTTGAATATAACCGGCTCGCCTGAGGACAAAATAAGCTTACCCAAAATGACTCTCATTCACCAAGGCTCCCTGATTCCATTGATTTCCAGATTGTGATTTGTTTTTGTGCAGAATGGATCATGGGGCCAGAGGGCGCTGGTGGCGTTGGATGCGGGCCAGGGTCAATTCGAGCGCGCTGCCCTAAAATCAGCCCATCAAATGATATCCCTTCGTGACCTGACGGCGATGGGGAGAGAGAAAGCAAGTCACACACACAAACTTGGCAAGGTCCGGGCAAAGCGAGCTATTATGGTCCTGGTGCAAAGTAGCCTTGGCTATGCATCCTCCATAGACGATACCGAATTCAAGTACAGCAGCCATTCTGTTAGCCAAACACGACAGTGCACCATCAAAGACACCCACACTTAGAACTCCCAATTTCGAAAAAAGCGGACACATAATGACGACTCTTAATGCATGTTCAGTACCATTGTAATTTTGTTTGGGCGTGATTTTTTGGAGGGTGCCCTTGTTGGGGTGGTTTTTTCAAGGGGCATTGGAGGGTTGGAGGGGGGGGGGGTGGCAGGGTGCAGCCTGTTTTGACGCGTTCCTTGCAGGAGCTCTTCTCCCTGTCGCGGGACGGTTCCTACGGCTACCTCATGGCGGTCTTGGCGGCCGTCTTCACCGCTGCGGCTCTGCTCACGGTGCGCACATTGACGGTGCTGGGGGAGCCGCCCCATCACGCTAGGCGACTGCCACGAGTTTCCGTCTCAAGGGGAAGCGTTGAAGTAGTGTTCATTTAAGTCGCAGCAGCTTTTCCAATTATTTGCAGGTAACTATTGACACTGTTGAAACCTTGTGTTTTTTGTTACCTCCTGTCGGATTTTGACGGATCTTTGCAAACGCCAGGGAGGCCTTCCATTGGGGGAACCTCCTGGGAGCACTGGTGCTTGGCTTGCCCCAAGGCGCGGAGATGAACAACGCCACCGGGTGCAGTTTGGGGTTGGTTCAATCGTCCGTTGAAGTGGTTGTTTGGGGCTCCCAACGTTTTAGTGGTGTGCTTTCCGAACAAATGGGAGGACGATTGAAAATTGCAAGTCTTGCATTGTGGAAAGGGCGGTCCTGAAGGGTCTTCCGCGAGCGCAAAAGGCCGGCGATTGGAACTTTCGGGCTGCAAAAAGCCAGCTTTTCAAGCTTGCTTTGGGCGAAAAGGAAGTTCCCAGGCACCCGCAACTGGTAAACCCCACTGGGTGCCCCCTTAAGGGGGCTCACTTTTGGAAGCCAAAAGAACGTGAAGTGTGCAATGCAGTCACAGGTCGTGAACATTACGGAAGCCCAAAGCATTGCCTATCCCCTCTGGCAATGAGACTGAAATGACGTACATATTAATGGTGCCTCAAACCCATTTTATTGCACATTTAAGAGGTCTTTGGAAGGGGTTGTTTGATTTTTGAGACCCTAGCATTCACAAAATCCATCAAAATGTTGAACCATCGCCCAGGGTTCCAGCGGCCAGACTACAGCGAGGGCATGTGGATTTTGATCACCGCAGTCTCCATGCAAGTGGCGCAGCTGGCGCTGACTTCTGTGCTTCGCAGCCCCGTAGTGAATGCAGCCAAGTTTTTCTTCCTCACGGTAGTCCTGAGCCTTGCTTTGCCCGGTTCTGGGTTTTTTACCGGTGGCACAAACCATTTCAGTGGGCAAACAGTCAGACTCGGCCAAGACGTTGAAATTAGCTGCTGTTTGGTGTCAGGTAGTCCTAAGTTTAAGCGGGATTCAAATTCATCCACAGTATGTCAATTTAGGCCGACTCAGTCCAGGAACCTGATCTTTGGGTTGCTCCTTGGCGACCCCTGGCCATCCAAGCGGGAGGCGGCAGGCGCAGCAGTGATCCTGTTCAGCATGCTCTACGGGGGCGCGTTGGAAGCCCAGGCAAAGCCAGCCAAGGCGCCGTAGCGGTTTTGCGGCGTGGTGTCCTTTTTCGGTGAGTCGGGGTTGAAAATCGATGGATTCCACTGGCTTCAGTTGGTTCTAATCAGTCTTTTGAGTGTAGTGACTTTGGCTGGGGAGAATCGATCAGGGGTTGCTCTCAAACTTCAGATTTAGGAACCAAGAGGGCAGACAGCTCGTGGAGTGTTTTTTGTTGTTGTCCTTTCCCGGTAGCATTGGAGCAACCCTGTAGATGGCACCGGTTTCAGTTTGCTCCTACTGTTTTACCAGTGCCGTGTAGTTGTCCAAAAGGACACCTACAAGAAGGTCCATCGGGCTTCACCGGAAAAGGGTGGAAGGCGCATGGGGCTGGCTCGAAACGAGAGCCCCTCTCTGGTTCATGTCGCTTTGGTTTCTGTCTAAGACCAACCAAGGGGGTAGCACCCCGTAGCACCCCATTTTGAGACATGCCCAATGCCTGCGTGTGGCATCAGCTCCGAGCAAAAAGGAGATGCGCATTTTGCGAGCTGGGCTTGAAAAAGAGACCCGGAAGCATCTGGAAGCAGAAAGCCTTCAGATGCAGCAGGTACGGCTGGAGAGAGGCGATGCAGCAGGAAGAGAAGACTGCAGTGCCGACTGCAGTTGACGTACTGGTCAATGGTCGAAGGCGGGCTTGCTCTTTGTGGAACAAGCTAAGTGGTTGCCACTGCCCCCGGTGAATCCCATGCTCACTTCGGTTGTGCCTGTTGCTGTCAACTTGCCACCGAGACATCAGAAAGGGCAGTTCTTTGGCTGCCAGTGGATTTCTTTTGCCTAAGGCCTGCGTTGGTTTAGTTCCTGGTCGGCGCCCGAAGTATGGCACGATGGGATCGTTTGTGCATCATCAGAGCTGGCATCAGCAAGTGATTCAGGATCCTGTGCAGCTGAGTGTTTGTTCTGGATCACACGAAGTTGCATATTGCTTGGCTGCTTTTTCTACGTGTTTTTTTGGTCGGGGATGTAGCGGGATTGGCTGTTAGTGAAGTATCCTTCGGGAGTTCTTTGGAGGAGGCCCGGAAAGGTCACGCTTTCGCCGGAGTCACCTTCCTTGCAAGTCAGGTTTAAGGCTTGAACGATTTGAGCTGTTTTTGTTTCCCCACCTGCCCCAGTAGCAGTTTTCAGACAACTCTTGTCCCACAACTTGTTCGGTTTAGGGCTTGGGGTTTCAGGTTTTGCGAATTGTCCCTTTGGGAAAACCGCTTCGTTTGCATAGCATGTTCAGGCACAAGATCCGCGACGTGCGCCGGGCGCTGCGTTTAGCTTTGGGCACTGGCGCGGGTCTCATTGAAACGAGGGCCAGAGAGGGGAGGGGGCGGACCGGGGCTGGATGGTTCTTCCGATTTGTTTGGCAAGCTCACCCGGGTAGAACTAGATCCTGTACCTGTGTGTCCCTTGATTCAGGCTTTGGAACTGTTAAACTTGTATATCCTTGTGACCACATGACAGTGGTTTCGCTTGTCGTATTCTCGTGCCCCACCACCGGCTTCACATGAGGCATCCGCCATGTTGAACTGTTTAGTGCGGGCTAAAACGAACCCACCTCAAGAATCAATCCGGATGCAGTATTCGATTTCAGGTTGAATTAGGTGAGCGGATAGGACTGGACTGGTGGGGTCCCTGCATGCCCAACCATCACATTCGCGCCCAGAGTGAAGCTTTGTAAACCGGGGCTGGAGTGCGCAGCAGGTTTCCCACCATGACCCAAAAAGCAGCTGGCATTGATTGCCCCGTTTCTGAAATTTTCTAGGGTTAGGCTGACTAGTCTATGATTTCCCTCCCTGTTTGTGTTTGAGAGTGCAAAGGAGAAATACCCTCCCACCCAGTATTATGGTATTTGACATGGGCTTCCTTTTTGTATATGATCATCATTGTGTTGATGTTTTTAATATGGTCTTTTCACGCAGAGTGCAGGCTAGATGACTCCAGTAGTTCTTCTTATTCCTGTGGAACAAAACATGGAACGGCATGGGGAAAAGCAAAGGAAAAACATGGGACACGTGTGGGAATAGTATTGGAGTGAGCAGGGGGTGTGGCCAAAATTGGGCAAACTATGGAAGAACCATGGGAAGTGGTTCGACCGGTTTTGTTCACCACGCCTTGTGATGGATGCCCTAAGCTGGACTTCCACGGTGCTAGTCTATGAAGCCGATGCACTTCCTGAAGCCAACTGATTCGCATTTTGGCCGGTTGTCGTTCGTTTCCTGCTTGTTTGATTGTCCATGCGCGGAGGCCTGGTCATTTGCATTTGCCGGACCGGGAAGCAGACCGCCAGACGCCCGGATGAATCGATGGTGGAGCAGCTTGGATAGACTTGCATCCCACCAAAGCCTTTGTTTGTTTTGCGCATTTCAATCTGAAGCGCAGTCCTCGAACATGCCCCCAGTGCTTCATTGGCACCTTTTTTTCCCCTTTGCTTGGTGAGCTCCCCACAAAAAATGCAACTCCCCAAAAAGGGTCCCCGTTTCTGCCCGAGTGGGATGGATGGGCCCCTGGCAATTGGTTTGGTTGGGCTTATTATGAGACCGGTGACATATAAAATCCGTTCGCACCACTTTAAAACTATGGGAAACCCTTGTTTGTTGGTATTTTCATCCCAGGGCTTCTTATGTGGTGCATGATTTCTTTCATGCATAGTAGGGCTGCTCCAAGCTCAAGGTCGACGATTACCCAAGGGCCCAAGGGCCCAAGGGCACAAGTGTGGCAGCTGCCTGTTGCTGCCCTTTTTCGGGAGCCCCCTAGATAACACTTGCCAGTGGCATGTTCCTTCAGCATGAATTGACTTCCCAGAATGCCTAGGTCCTGTCCTTGGTGGATGAAGGCGGATCACCCATCGGCAGATGTCATTTGCGGTTGGCATGGTTGTGTGCTGCAAACGACCTTCTGCCCAACAAAGAAAAACTCTTGGATCTCTTTGGGGGCGGTCTCATCATGGGCAGGTTTGGACCCGACGAAGGCCGCACCGCGCATGGGTATGAGATATGGCAGGGTGCCTACCCCACACGTATCGCATGTATATGGCTTGCAGCGGGAGAAAAACGGGTACTTTCTCAGAAAGGCAAAGTCATAGTTGTGGCTGCTGGGCCCAATGGGTTGCAAGATGCAGCTTTCAGCTGGGCCCAATGCTGGGGCCCACGCCGCATTCAGTCATGGGAACTGTCACTTGTACAGTTTGTAGTGGCCTAACCTAGGGCAGACATGAATAGAAGATCCCTGATTCAGCTGAGTGAGTTATATAGACAAGTTTCTGTGGATGGCCGAGCGGCTTGGGTTTCAGCGAGTATGATGTTTGATTTGGGTATGTGTCAAAATGAGAGAGAGAAAACAAAAGAAGAATTGTTTTCCATTTGATTTCCTTTCATACCAAGCTGGAATGGGTTCGCTCAAAAACAGAACCCCCCAAATGCTGTCAGGGTGCCACATGGGTATCTTGGCTGGAGCGTGATTCTTGCGCGCATGACAGGCCACTGCCACCACGTGGTCCCAACGCGCGCGACCCTGAGAAGCGAAGAAGCAGGAACGGGGGATGGTAGTCTGCTTGGCTTGGAGCTGCTTTCCAGCCAGAACCGAAAAATCCGCTCCGAGCCATAGCAGTTCCCCGGCACCCTCTTAAGTTAAGCTGCTGCCCGTCGTAGCCAGACATGCGCAATTCCCAAGGGTGCTAAGTGATAGCATGGGGATGCACAGACACTGACCAAAGGCACGTGACTATCGAGCTGATGTTCTGCTGGCCACACGCAAGGGCTTGGACACGGGCTCGCATGATGAACCCGCGCCAAAGCAAGATAGCTAGAGACCCCTGCGGATGGGCTCCTTTTGTTTGTCAAAAAGCAAGCAGGTTTGGAGGGTAAGAATCATGCTCCTTCATGTTGGCTCCGGGCTAAAGTCGTCCCCATAGGACCCCCCCCAGTTTAGGCACCCTGCCATATGCAGGTGGAGGTGAAGCTCAGTCGCATTGGCAGGGAGCTCGGCGGAACCCTCCTTGCTTTTTCTTAGAGCCTTTGGGAACAACTCGCCAACCTTGGAACTTACCAAAGGGTGCATGGCTGAAAGGGGGCCAGTCCCATTCAAGTCTAGAATGGATTTGCCCAAAGTTCTCGAAGTCCATGGGGCAATGTCCAAAGTCCGCAGTTGGGTGGAGTGGCACGTGCGCTTGGGCTCAGGCATCTCGCTGATCCGGACGGGGCCAACGCCTGCAGAGCCCAGACCCGAGTGCGAAGCAGGGGAATGACATCAACGAATGGGACGACGTGGCTTTTATATATGCTCATGGAAATGTGTGAAGAGGGAGCCGCAAAAACACATAGTTTTCCCACTGGACTGGATATTCACTGGGAGCAAGTTACAGGCTCAGGCTGACCCCACAGGTTGCTCATAGTTGGGGATGAAGTTAGTTGCCTTGCAACTTCCAGCGTCCTAACGTGGGAGTATCGTGAAGCTTCTCCTTTAGCTTGATTTTTGGGCTTCCATCAGCGGTCTGACAAGATGGCGACCCTTGTTTGGAAATATAGATGGCACAACAGGACGCCGAATCACGGGGCCAAACCTTTTGGCGCGACCTTTAACCTGCCAACCTTTTGAACCTTTTGCACCAACCAGCAACAGTTTATATTATGCCTTTTTACAGGAGGGTCCTTGGACCAACCCAGAAAATGCATCTTTCCCCACCACTGGAGGTTGCTCTACTGGCAGCTGGAGTTGATCCGGGCGGAGTGGCGGCAAGGCAGGAGAGGTGGAAGCCTTTGGGGGATGGGCCCCCTGTCGCTTTTGGTGGTTTCAAACTACCTTGTGGCCCCAATTTTATGCGTTTTGTTTTTGGCGGGGTGACGTGTAAAGGCGAAATATAGGGAGCCATGAAGTGGAAAGACAGAGAGCAGGGGTGTCATGGTATCTCCATTCTTGGGGTCGATGCGGTTGTGACAATGGCTACATCGTGTGCAGTTGATTGAATGCGCAGCTCTCAGTGCAGAGCCTGTCCCTCGGGATCTAACCTGCCACTCTTGTTAGCTGAGGCGGAGGGGTTTCCTGTGCTTTCAGACCGTACTGCCGTATTTTTGGCTTGAGGCTTACCAGTTGGTGTTGATCGCCAGCCGATCCGCTGGCTGCCTTGACAAAAGTTGTCTCATTTGTTGCCCAGGCAAGACACCGAAACGACTTGCAGACTTTTGTAGGCAACGGGGCTACTCCTGAATCAACCCGTGTTGTACTGACCTATTGCTTTCACAGGGGTACTCGCGCCAGTTAAGAAAATTGGGGGTTCCCAAAACAGAGGGTTCCTGACACGCGCCGAGATGACGTAGAGTTTCTCATAACATTTGTTTCAAGTTGCCCTCAGCCAGCCAGCATACGTTTGCAGTAAAGTCCTTCGGCAGGTTCCGGCGAGCCGCAAGAAATGCGGCTTTCCATCGCTGGCATGCAGGCAGGATCACGCCTCGCTTGTGACCTCCCTTTTCTTTGCGCTTGTGAAGCTACCCTCAGCGGGCCCTGCACCCTGATTTGACTCCAACCAACTCTCACTTCACTCTAAACCCACCTTAAACCATCTTAAACCGAACGTGCACCCAGCCATCGCAATATTTTATTTAAACTCACCAACCCTACAACAACCCTCCCTAAACAGACCTCGAAGCTCACCGGCCAAGCTCAGCCCTAAACCTTTCAAGGCGTGGTGTCAGCAGTGAAACGGGTCATGTCACTTTTGGAAACTCGTTGCAAAACTGAATCCGGCGAGAGCCCTTATGGCCATGTGGAAGTCATGAAACAATGCAGTTGGCTTGTGGAAATAAACTCAAGGCACTGATCTCGCAGTTGCCTAGGTGGACTGCCAACTGAGCGGGCGTGCAGATCGGGTGGATCGGAGCCATGGGCCAAGCAAATGGGCAACTGGAATGCGTCAAAGTGAGTGCAAATCTTTGATTTCAGCGCCCTGAAAATGAATGGGTCCTGTCTGTTTTCTGCATTTTGATCCATTTTGGCCACCCCGTTCGATCAGAAGCTGAAACGTCCGGAGTTGGGAATCCCAATTATAGGCACCATGTGTCAGTCAGTTTCAACAGGAACCGGATGCAAGCCGCATGGCTGTGGCAGGGGCGCGTTGCGAGTTTACACCCGCAAATATCCTCCGCACAGGGGGCAGAACTCTGTATTTTGTGGCGCATCTTATCAAGGCACAGAATCCTGGATTTACCCTCAGTTCTTCGAAGAGCGTGGATTGCAAAGGTCACGACTAAGTTGTTCAAGAAACTGGACCTGTTTCCAGTGACAAGCTAAGCTGCGCAAAGTAACAGCGTACTGCAAAGCTGCAAATCTGCTAAGAAGAGGCAAAGACTGCCCAACGTCAGGCTGCAGAATCTGTGTTTCCAAACGGTCAGATAAAATGGGACTGCCCCGTGGCGACGCACCTGCCTGCAATGGAGAGGGGGCGGCTGAGCGTTGCCAAAGCACGGACTGCAAAATGCATATCCGCATCACGGTCCGAAATCCTGAGAATATCCCAAACAAGCAGGGGTTCCTATTCGCGTAGGAAAGCTAAGATATCCAACTTCATGCGGTTGCAACTTCCGGCTAGAGCTGTGAAGGGTTGAGGCTTCTTGCTTGGAGGCTACTTTTCCTCGACATTCACCATGCAAAAACAACGCCTGATTCATTTGACCAGACTTAGCTCAGCTGACATTCTAGTTTCTTGAGGCAAGCTTTAGCTCTGACATGCAGGGGCGCATGACATGAACAATCTTATCAAGCATTAACAAGCGTCCCCTAAGCCAACATGCTTACCGCAAGTTCACGGATGATTGTAAAGTAGCGATGGGCCATTATGCTTTGCAACTCTTTATTTTGAAATGGCGGGGGTGGTTTCTTTGAGGGTACTCATGCTGGCTTGTGTTCAAGAGATACGAAAGAACCCCATTTTGGGGTTCCCTCAAAAACAAACCTCAATGTTGCGATTATTGACTGAAATCCGAGCCCTGTGGGACCGGAACATGTGTCAGCCGATCGTTTGACCCGAAGTTCGGAGGATTATCAGCACAGATTGGCTGGCTGAGGTCAGGGAAGCGTACTGTCGAGGAGCAGTCCACCTGATTCTTGGTCTGAACTTGGTTACCCATACCTGCAGATTTGGGTGATTCCAAAGACTTGGGACTGGTGTTCAGGTTTCGAGGATAATATGGAACGATGCCATGTAAACCCACAATTTGGTATTGAAACACCCATATCGTTGGATGCTGGCAGAATGGCCTCCAGCAGATTGTTGCTTGCTATCCATGTTGGCATTTGGTCGCCTAATGAGGTTCCTTGATTATTAAAAAGAGTATCAAAAGTCAAGAGAAGCTAGCTGCGAGGCCGTGATTTTTGCCAGCCACGGTGATGGAGGCGGACTCCTGTCTATTTGTCGGGGGTCTGTGCTTTGGGAACCCCGACCCTTTTCAGGGATGATGTTACGTGCTCTGCCCTGGCAGAGATGATGTGACGAGGGGGGCTTGCAATTCTGACAGTCCCATGACATGGTGCCCGCTCCTGTGGGATGGCGGGCAGAAGCATGCACGTGGGCACCCGCATGCTGATGCAGTCTGCACAATATGCCGCCGATAAATCCGTATTTCTCTGCCATGCATGTGCACAGACGCTTGTCCTGCACCCCATATTTCACGATCAAACACCCCGGTGTTTAATAAAAAAGAGTGATACTGTACGTAGATGCTCTGCTCGCAATTCTAACGGGCACCAAGAACGGCCTGTACAACGTGCAAGTTCTAAGCGAATGCGGGGTGGATTGCAAGACGCGCGCTGTCAAGCAAGCTAGATGCATGCCCAACTAACCATAGACCAGGTTTGTTTATTCTCCCAGGGCTGGCTACTTCACGTTTGGCAGAGCGCACTCAAGGAGCAGCAACAACAGCTGTTGCTTACTCGAGCGCTCAGAATTTAACATGATGCAAACCAGCTGAGGATTTATTGGAGTCACTCCATTGCGACTTGTTGTGTAATGGGGTCCTGGAATGCAAAAAACCAAAGATGGGTTGCCTTATCTGCAAGCGGCGTGGCCATTCATGTGCGGCAGGCCGTGCTTTTTTCAGCTAGGCCCTCAGATGTCGAGGCCCCCCTTGGGCCCTTTGGAAGAGCAGCGAGACATATCTACGTGCCACCACGTGCGCCAAATAAAAACACCCACAACGCTCTAAGTACCTCATGTGGGTGGGGTTGGTTTCACCAGTCCAACGCTGATAGCTCATGTATGCTTGTTTTTCTGGGGCACGTCGCTGTTCCCCTTTGGTCTTTGGCCAGTTTCAACAGCACGCACACCTGCCAGCGTGCAGAGTGAGCAGTGATTTCATGGGAAACGAGCGATTGAAGCTTAGGACGCATTGCAGCCACCTTGTCTCAAGTTGAGCAGCCTAGCACCTCGAGGAACATGGCCAAGACACTTGCTTTGCTGCTCCTGCCGGCGCTGGCGGCGGCTGAAAGCTGCAGGGACATCAGTTCATGCCATCAGTGCTTTAAGAGCGGATGCTTTGGCTGGCAGGGGGTTCAAAAGCCCAACGGCACGGGCAGGCAATAGATTGTCAATTGCACAAGCGCGCTTTGTTCTTATTGTGGCCTGGTTTTGCTGTGTGTCTCTCCGTCATGCAGATGAGGGATTTGTGGATGTGGCTGGCCCCTTCCCCCCCTGAAGGCTTGGTGACGAGTGTTGCTCCAAAGATGACTGTTTGGCGATGGCTGCAGGCTGGGCGGCGAGTCGGAGGAGTTGCCCAACTGAAGAACTATGGAATATTGTCCTTGCTGGGGCGTCAGGTTACCCACCTAAAGCCCAAAGGGGGCAGTGTTGCTAGCATGGAGGGCCAAGTGTGCATGCAGGCGTTGGTCACAGCGAGTCCACATTCAAGCGCACTGCTTTGGAGGTGACCGTCAGTTCTTCAGATCCTGCACGGAGTGGAAGCAACATCAGGACTGAACGGTTCCAAGAATGCCCGACACCTTCCCCTATGGCCCATGGTGCCCCATGTCCTTGGAGCATACTTTTCACTCGTTTCTGTTCGCTGCGATTTGGATTTCATGCTAAGATTGGAGTGAAGTGAGCCAGAGAGATAGCTCTTCTTGCCATGTGCAGGACTTGTCGCAGATTTGTGAAACCATCGATGCTCAACGCCCTTGTGAATGCTTGGAGGTGCGGTGGTCATTAATTAAAGAGCTCAACTCTTTGTGCGTCTTCTCGACGGGTTGATGACAGAGACACTATGTGATGGCAGCTTTACTTGGGTAGCACTACTTAGACTTGCCCGCTTTGCAGTTCCATTGTTGTCCTCACAGTAAACCTGGATCGGTCGTGCCTTATACGTGAGTGTGGCAAATCCTCCTGGAATGGTTTCATAGTTTCATGGGTTTCTCTTTAAGGCAGTCCCCAAAAGGGCCAGACTTGTATTGAGGGCCACCCCCCCCAGCACCAGCATCCTGTGTTCCACTCTGCGAGTTCAACTGAGGCCGGGTGCACCGCGCAGGAAGTCGGCGCCGCAGCCTCAGCCCAAAATCCTTTTGCGGCGGCGCTTGCGCCGCTTGCGCCGTGCAGAAGCGGCATGGGTTAGCCAAAGACAAAAGGCATGAGATAGTTGGGGATTTTGAGAATCAACGCAGGTTTTCAGGATGGTTTTCGATGAGGGCAATGAGGGTGCATCTCGGTTCTGACATGACCGCTCGGTCAGGCAGACTACGCATGCTTCGCCAGCTACCAGCCCGCGGCGGGCCGGCCAGTCTTCAAGAGCGAGCTCGACTGCAAGGCAGAGGCGGAGGCCGACGCAGAGCCAGAGGCGCCCCCTTCCGGTGGTTGGTTATATATTTTGGGATTGATTAGCCCCAGGTATGGTTTGCCCGTTTCAGCAAAGTACAAAACTAGAATGGATCGCAGCTGTTGGGGATAAGCCAACATGCCTCGTGTTCATGACCTGTTCCCTGTGATGTAAAATTGTGTGCGACCATTGTGTGCAAGTGATTCTACGACCCATGGGCCTTACGGAAAGGCGTTGCTTGGAGCCAATGTGGGTTTTAGACCTGTCATAATATGAATGCTGGGCCATGAGGCGTATGCCTTTTGATTTCGGGCCAGGCGAGCCAGCCGGCCGTGCTGCCCTAGTGGCCTCAAGGAGGCGCGCGCCGGTGGTAATGGTCCAGTGTCGCGCTGGCGTTTTGGGTTCCCGGTACCTTGGTGTGTCTGGCTATCGCAGTACCTTTGGGGCATCATGCCATCATTCCCCACGAGCCCCCTCACAAGGCCAACTACTGCCGTCTCCGCATTGTTGGCCCAGTTCTCCTTAATTGGTTATGCTCAAGTTGCCATGCTGCCGTGGGCTCAAGTGGCACCTATCGTCTCATTGTCAGTTTGTGTGTGCCAGTGTACTCTATTGACGCTATGGCGTCCCTTCAGCAGAGTTGTGGGCCGCTTGTTGCTCCTCGCGCCTTCCTGACGGAGTGCAAGCCAAACAGCGACTTTAATCCCGTCCGCTCGCACAGTTGCCCGGCAGACAATGAAAGTGCAAGGTGCGGGTGGACGATGGCCACCAGACTTCCAGTGACTGGGCCAACCAAGGGTTTCAAGTCCTGCATGTCCACGTTATTTCATGCTGCATCTCACCTCAAGGGAGAATAGCATGCGCACACCACTTGTTTTTGAAATTTTGAACCCATGTTGCATGTGCTAGTGGAATGTTTGCTTAAGTTAACCCCCCAGGCTGGACGCTGAGGAAATCCTGTGAAAGTAGTAATAGTTCAGCTGCGGCGTTGTCATTGTTGCTTCAGGAAGTACACTGGACATGTGGGATAAGTTGATCCCCAGAACGCTATCGGGCGCCTGTGCGTTTTGCAGCATCAACGCATGTTAAATGAACATGGGGTTCGGTGGGGGTGGGGTTGCCACTTGAACATGGGGTGGGGGGGGGGGGGGGCGAGGGTCATGTTAACGTTCTTTCTACTTGCGCACGCACTGGATGTTGCGTTGAATATGGGGTGGGAGGGGGTGGGGTGGGGTTGGGAAGGGGGGTCATGTTAAACATGGGGTGGGGTGGGGTGGGGGGGTGTTTCTTGTTTGTTCTGTGTTGATTCCACAGATCCACTAATGTGCGATTATCCGTTGCCGTTGGCTCAAGGCCTGGTGATATTACAAGCTAGAGTGAAAGAGGCTTTGACCTCCTTGCTGTATTGTGGTACTTGCTCTCATTTGTTTCTATTGGGAAACAAAACTGCTTACATACATATTTGGTCTTCGACCTCAGCATTTACACTTGGCACCTCATCGGAATAGATCCATATTCGGGAGGTAAGTGCGTCGCTCCTGAACGCTGGCAAAACCATAGCTTCAGAACGCTGAAACAAAATCGCTTCAGAACGCCGGAAAACGTACTAATCGCTTCGGAACGCTGGAAGTGGAGCCACGTGCCTTTTGCTTCCAAACAAAAGCACATGGACAGAGATCTCAGAATTTGGCTTTCGGGCCATGCCGCGGCGAAAAACATGATTTCGTCGATTGGCCCAAATGCATCCTTTTGGCTAGTTCAAGAGTAAAGCTGCCGGATGCTTGTTTTCAGACAGCAAAGACAAACACGAAACCCTGTGTTAACATGTTGTGACATTGACAGCACCTGCAATCGGAGTCTGGGCCAAGTGATTTGGGTGTGGGGATGTATGGTTTTTGCGCCCCATCTTTTGGGTTGTTTCATGTTTACTCAGACTCGAAAAGAGAATACACAATGCGGTTCCCAGGTGCTGTTGATCCAAAAGAGAGTTGCTAGCTGACGGATTTTTTCTGATAGCCTCGAAAAACCCTAAGACCTAAACCCTTTATTAACGTACTATAACATTAACAGCACCTGCCACCAGAGTCTGGATCAAGTGATTTGGGTTTCGGTTGTAGCGCCCCACAAGCAGTTCAGCGGGTGTGCTTATCATGCCCCCCCCCCCCCCACCCCACCCCCCACCCCCAGAACCAGATGAATTTGCACATTTGGGGATAGAGCTTCAGCGGGTGTCCCCCCCCCACCCCACCCCCCACCCCCAGAACCAGAGAGCTTCAGCAGGTGTGCTTATCATGCCCCCCCCCACCCCACCCCCCACCCTTCAGAACCAGATGAATTTTGCACATTTGGGTATAGAGCTTCAGCGGGTGTGCTTATCATGCCCCCCCCCCACCCCACCCCCCACCCCCAGAACCAGATCGATAGAGCTTCAACGGGTGTGCTTATCATGCCCCCCCCCCACCCCACCCCAGGATAGAGCTTCGGCGGGTGTGCTTATCATGCCCCCCCCCCCCACCCCACCCCACCCACCCCCAGAACCAGATGAATTTGCACATTTGGGTATAGAGCTTCAGCGGGTGTGCTTATCATGCCCCCCGCCCGCCCACCCCACCCCCCACCCCCAGAACCAGATCAGCAGGTGTGCTTATCATGCCACCCCCCCCACCCCACCCCCCACCCCCAGAACCAGATGTGGGTGTAGAGCTTCAGCGGGTGTGCTTTTCACCCCCCCCCCCCACCCCCCCCAGAACCACTAGATTTTGCACACCTGGGCTGGGACGCCTGCCTGCGTACGGAAATGATCCTGGGCTGGGACGCCTGCGTTCGGAAGTGATCTTTTTGACTGGCCGGGTTTTGCAACCCTTTCGGCGTTCCGGGTGCTCAGTGTTTTGAAGTCATTTTGTTTTAGTGTTCGGAAGTGATCGAAAGTGGCAGCGTTCACAAGTGATTTTTTTCAGTGTTCTGAAGTGATGTTCGGTGGGGGTGGGGTTGCCGCTTGAACATGGGGTAGGGGGGGGGGGGGCGAGGGTCATGTTAACGTTCTTTCTACTTGCGCACGCACTGGATGTTGCGTTGAATATGGGGTGGGAGGGGGTGGGGTGGGGTTGGGAAGGGGGGTCATGTTAAGCATGGGGTGGGGTGGGGTGGGGGGGTGTTTCTTGTTTGTTCTGTGTTGATTCCACAGATCCACTAATGTGCGATTATCCGTTGCCGTTGGCTCAAGGCCTGGTGATATTACAAGCTAGAGTGAAAGAGGCTTTGACCTCCTTGCTGTATTGTGGTACTTGCTCTCATT